CTGTAACGTTATCCAGCGTCGACTTTGAAGAAGAGGATATGTTTTTGGAAGGTCTCGATCAGTTTCAGATCGGTAAGTGTCTAATCATTTTAGTGAGTTTGTATTATTGCTTTTTCGTTTTGATTTTCTGCACTATTGCGGCTTATAAGTACATTGAAAAACAGTGAAAATTCGTTGTGATTCAAGCGCTGAATTAGAAGAAACCCTATACAACATTGAACATATTACTCTATGTAATGTTAGCTATAGGCTATTGTTTTGTGTGTAAGTTAGAACGCAAGACGAAGTTTACAAAACCAAACTTTTCAGAGAAGAAAATGTAATTATATGTGTGTAAGGTAATCAGTTGTGTTAGGTGTATTTCTAATCCTTTTTGTGTAATTCAACAGTGACGAAACTTCAGATGATGCGAGGGTACCAGAGGCCTCTGGACAACAAGCGTCCGTGTGTGGCTGCAGCATCTTCAGCTGCATCCAGAAGTTCAAGAGGAAAGAACGGAAGAAAGAGACAGCCCAGCACTTTGTGGTAAACAAATAACGTGAAGCAAGTAAAGTAATGTTTAGTGAGATTTAAAAAATAGCATTTGAGGGCATTATTATTGTCTGATTACAGTCTGCATTATTAGCTGGTAGTGTAAATGTGCAATCAGAGCAACAATAGTATGGAGGAGAATTGCTGTATGTGAATTATTTTTGAATATAAAATCTGTAAGCTGGTAGTGTAAATGTGCAATCAGGGCAACAATAGAGTGGGTATGGAGGAGAATTGCTGTAAGCGAATGATCTTTTGAATAAAAAAGTCTGTAAGCTGGTAGTGTAAATGTGCAATCAGGGCAACAATAGAGTGGGTATGGAGGAGAATTGCTGTAAGCGAATGATCTTTTGAATAAAAAAATCTGTAAGCTGGTAGTGTAAATGTGCAATCAGGGCAACAATAGAGTGGGTATGGAGGAGAATTGCTGTATGTGAATTATTTTTGAATATAAAATCTGTAAGCTGGTAGTGTAAATGTGCAATCAGGGCAACAATAGAGTGGGTATGGAGGTAGATTGCTGTATGTGAATGATTGTTTGAATTTCAGATTTGAAAAGGCAATAATATTTATTTATGTGTAAGATAATCAGTTATGTTAGGTGTATTTCTAATCCTTTTTGTGTAATTCAACAGTGACGAAACTTCAGATGATGCGAGGGTACCAGAGGCCTCTGGACAACATGAAAGCGTCCGTGTGTGGCTGCAACATCTTCAGCTGCATCCAGAAGTTCAAGAGGAAAGAACGGAAGAAAGAGACAGGAGCTGACAGGACATCCCACCAAAAGCAAGGTTTTTGACCCTCCTTCTCATACTTTTTGTGGGTGTCACAGTCCCGTGCACATCACCAACGACAGCAGGGCAGGTAGACGCAAATGTAAGGTGTGCCACTGGAATTCTCCTGTGAAGTGTCACAACTGTGATGTAGCTTTCTGCTACCTCCCTAAAAGGAACTGCTTTATGGATTATCATGCACAGAACAACCTCCTAGTGTGACTTCATATTTAGTCCAACGAATGATAGCACTTTTGCAATAGGGACTGTGAGAGTATATGTACCGGGTGGACGAGTGGGCTTGACAAACCGTCCTTACCTGTGGTAAAACTCTCCTCTATGTGTGCTGGACACTTCTAGTGTGAATGACAACCTCCTGTGACTTTTTAGTCCAGTGCAGAATGGCTAATTTGCAATAGGGATTGTGAGAGTATATGTACCGGGTGAACGAACTACCAGCTAATTGACAAACCATCAACAGAACAGCACTGCCAAACTGTGCAATACTTTGTAAATAGTACATTTGTTTTATTTATTTATTCAAAAAAAAGTTGGGGGGGCTTTTGAGAAATGTGTATCACTGTTGATTGCACTGAACTAAGAAACAGTTGTTTGTAACTATATACAGATGTATAAATAAAAAAAGTTTTATTTGCTAAATAATGTGTCATTCTTAACCATTAAATGGATGGTAGTGAACAAATAAAAGACTTTGTTATATATACTTTTTATAAGCAAGTTGCCAAATGTCACTTTAGGGTCCTTTTTGAGCCTTTTCCAAAAATGCACATAACTGCATTTTTATAAACATTTAGGATGTAAACAATACACCAGAGAAAGTATATAAGTTGTGCTTTGTCGTATTGTAATAAGAAAATATATTGAAATGATCAAAAAAACTTGTTATAGCTCATGGTAAAAGTTGGTTACCAAGTGTCCCTTTGGAGTCTCCAAGTGGCCTTTTTGGGTAGGTGCCCTGACATGCGCTGAAATAAATGCTTGTAAAAAAATCATTTTTGCTTGTATAAACTTCAAATTTGAAACATACATTGTTAAGACCTATGGCTTTAGTTTGCTTGTGTTTCCAGGCCCGTATATTTTTGCCTTAAGCATTTTTCTTTTTCATAAATATTTATTATACAAAAACAAATTCTCGTCCATTGTTTTTGAGCTTATTTATCTCTCTATTAGTAATTGCTCAGAGCAATTTTAAGTCTTTCATAGTAAACTGCCAAGTGTCAGCTTTTAAATGATACCTTGGTTTTGTGTGTAGCCAAAAGGACTAGTTAGCAACAACCATTTTATTATGGGTATGTCATTTTGCACTCGATTGCCAAAACGTGGGGCGAGTAGTAAGGGGTTAACTGTACTCTGCTAGAGTGGGAAAGTTAAGAGATGTGTTGTAACATGTCAGATAACATGTAATTTATATGAGAGGAGGAGAAATAGTCGCACCCTAAACTAAAAACAATGTCTAATTGGTCAGAACTCCTCTAAAGTGTTGGAAAAACATCTGAGTTTAAAAACTCAGTAAGAACCCATCTAACTACTCTCGTCTCACTGACTTTTCTTTCTTCACTTAGTTTATTTTCTTTGCCGTTGAGAGTCTCGCTTTCTAAGTTAAGTTTTTGCCACAAAGCTTCAGTCAATGACTCTATAGTCTTTGTGTAACCAGTCCTACTCGACCCTCTCGAGCGGGATTTGAAGCGAGGTCTCCGGCGTGGGAGGTGGGCGAGCTAACAAGCTGAAGACCACAGCCTCTAGCGCACCTCTTGAGGCCAGGAGAGTGAGGTTTACATACACAGCTCTTACTGGCCTATATCCGTTACACTTGCCTGCTTCAAACTTTATCCACGTCCATGAGACTCCATTTCCATTCATCGTCCAACACACCAGAACGTGATTGACTTCCCAAAACACGACGAGACCTCGAGCGAATCAACGAACCTGGGAGACCACTTTTCAGCAAAGGAGAGAATCCCACAGAAACGCCACAGAAGAGAATCCCCATCAAAGACATAAACAACAAAAGAAAGTAATACCTCTAGATTTTAGCTGAACTGGTGCATTGATATTAAATTTAAAGGGACATTGTGTAGGAATTTCTCCCATGTAGCGGTGAATTTTTTTTTGCATTCAAACGAATTGTGCTCTCCAGCGCCTCGCTTTTTCAAATGCGTGTTGCATCTACGGTAGCCGTTATGTACCAAAGAGCTATGACAGGATGTCTTCTAATAGCACTTCGTCGAGTTTTCCTTCGGGTGAACATGTTGGAAGAACAATCATATGCTCTATTAAAATATATTCTTATCGAATTTCTAAGTTACAAAAAGTAAACTTACAAACCTCGTTTTTAGCGCCTTCTCTACTTAACTCAATAGCTGCTATTCATCAAAGAGCCTGTTTAACTTTTAACTATAAATGTTCTACTGTCTATAATAAAGTACACAACCAAGCAATGAAAAAAAGCTTGTAATTAAGACTGTAACATTGACTTACCTTTCGAGAAGAAAGCCGGCAACTTCAGCGTCTCTTTTGAAATCTTTCTCCTGCATTAAAGCTATCCCGACATTAACTCTTGTTTTTTTGTAATCTCCGGTCACGTTTCCTTTTACGTTCTATTTTGGAATTTATATATGGTTCGCCATTAAAAATAACAGTGCAATGCAGCCTTTTAAACTTGCCGGGGCAGTGACAAGCACCTCTCACTGCTGCTCCTCCGTTTCTGCTGCTTTCAGTTAACGTTACGTGACGCTGGCTCTGAACGAAAACGCGTTGTGGAAACGCGTTGGCCTAGTACTTTTTGTCCCTCTATGCTATTATACTTTTTCAAGATGGCGGAACTACATGGAAGCCTCCGTTGACCTACCCGTCCTATGCATATAAAGATAATAAATTTTTTGTTTACGAGGATAAGTCCGATAATTGGCAGAGGTATTTGTACACCATTGAGGACATATTTATGAATATAAATATTGATTTTAGATAATAAAATACCTTAAAAAAGTACACATTGTCCCTTTAATAACTGCACCTAAGAAACGATAGAAGGGTTAAATTAATGATTGATGGTTCGTTCGGGTCAGATCTTATAAAGTGCACATATTGTTAGAAACTTGTCAATTCATAATTTCACTCTCTTAAAAAAAAAAAGCACATATTGCTAGAAACTTGTGAATTCATAATTTCACTCTCTTCGATTTTTCCCTCACTTTATTTCTGCAACTTTCTGCGTGTATTTATGTTAGATATTAGTTTTATGTGTTAGAATAATCAAAGTCTTGTTTGTATTTAAAGAGAAGTGTCTTGTGTTGTGCTTATGAATTTAATGTCTTAAACTGCCGATCTTGTTACTGTGCTAAAAAATAGTGGTTTCATTATAATTTGGATATTAATATCCACTAAAGAGTTGATATTTACAGCCTCTTCAATTGAGCGCTGGACAATTAATTTGTTCGGCCGTAACATAAGTGCTTCTTTCAAAATTCCCTATAAATTATTAATAATTCCATTTGAGAAATTGACCTTGAGAAGAAATTGAGAAGTTTCTCTTACATATTATTACTGAAATCTTAATAATTAGTTACACTACTAGTTACTGCAAAAAGTAATATTACTGTAATGAATTACTAGTAACGCATTACTGTCCAACACTAGATGTCTGAGACAGAATTTTTTCAAGAATCCCCAAATCAGTTATTTGATCCAAATACATTTTATTGATCATAATTTATTCTAAATATTTCCTTTTTGGGCTAATATTTCCCTTTACATCAGAGATTGATTGTTTGAATCTAAATTCAGAAAACATGAGATTTAATTATTAAGTCATGGCATGAATTTACAGGAAATTAACAATTACCATTGCACACCTGCAGGTAACTGATGAACAAAAAAAGTTAAAAATCTAAAAAACAAAGGGAAATCCCGCACACCATCAATACTAGCAAAAACAGTGCTAGATGGACTTGGATAATCAAACATCCAAGCATAATTCTATATCATAATTCAGCAATATGGCATATGCCTGATGAAGGTCATGAGACCGAAATGTTGCTAATAAATATTTTGTGAAACTTTTTGCAAGTATTGATAGTGTGCGGCATTTCCTTTTTTTTTATTTTTATGAATTTACAGTAAAAAGATATTCAAGAACAATTCAACATTTAGTTTGATGTAAATACCAAAACAATCATGATTAGTGTTATTACAAGACACTAGTTCACACACTAACTCGGGAAGCACATTTAAGGTGAAAGGTTTCTCAAGATTAGGGTCAATAAATTGAAAGACTATATCAGCAGTGAAAGTGTAACTAAAAAGTTTAGCAAGAAAAGCAAGACTGCAAATGTTGTCCTATAGACAAGTTTAAAGTCCAAAAAACCTTCCATTATAAACTGATCAAAGCTGATACTGACTTCTGTCTGACTTGATGCCAGTATTCAGGTGCAACATTAGGTGTTCTTAAAAAAAAATACAAAAAACAAAGCAACAATATTACAGTAATGTTAATGTTTTACAAGAACAATGCAAGTACATCTCAAATTGTTTACACATTAAATTTCATCTACTTTTTTTAAGGTACCTTTCTAAAGATTAGTATGTAAGAGAGATGCATTGGGAATCAGTATCCATCACAGCTTAATTGGCTAGCGATCACTGCAGTCATCTGGTAGTGTACTGGAAAGATGCCATCTGTACATGTTTCCGTAAGCGTTCCACTTCCAAGTCTCTGAAATAATTATTTTCGTCATTCTGAATAATGATCTTCTGCAGCTCGCCAATCTCTTTCTCCATTTTATTCCTTAACTCTCTTTTCATTTTCTGCAGAGCCTGTTGGAAATGCATATGTTTAGAACAAATTATTTAGGAAGAATACATTTACTGATTGATGAATTAAAAATGATTAAAGTCAGCATAATTTGCAAGCAGTATAACAAATACTACCATTCCCATACATGCCTTATAACAAAAAATCTCATATATATATATATATATGATATTTTATATTGGATCACACACACACACACACACAAAGACAAAATGATTAGCCCCCTATGATTTTTTTTTTTCAACACAGCATTTCTATTTAGAAAACTTGGAGTGTTTATAATACAAATAGAAAAAAAAATTATAACCAAGAATAAAAAAGTCTACGGGTCAAAATTAGCCCTCTGATGTTAATAGTCAATAGTGTGTCGCTTTTGCTTGATAACAGCCTTTAGTGGGATGGAGTCTGGTCTTCAGTGTGCCCCACAGATTTTCTATTGGATTCAAGTCTGGGCTTTGTGCAGGCCCTCATTTGGAGGTAGTTCTTCACCAGAAGTGAGGTATGCTTTGGGTCTTTATCATGCTGGAAGACAAAACGTCGACCCAAACCAAGTTTTGTTGCAGATTGCCTGAGGTTGTCTTTAAAAATGTTCTCGTAGTCTTCCTTTTTCATGATTGCTTCGACCCTGACAAGATTCCCAGTTCCAATTGCACTGAAACATCCCCACAGCATTATACTCCCAACGCTGTATTTTACTGTGGGAACGGTGTTCTTTGGGTTGAGCGCCTCTCCCTTCTTTCTCCAAACATAGGCAACATCTCTATGGCAAAAGAGCTCTAGTTTTGTCTCATCTGACCAAAGGACATGTTTCCAGTTTGCATCATTTTTCTCCAGGTTGTCCGTGGCAAACTTCAATCTAGCTTGGAGGCATCTCAAGAAATGGAGTTTTTCTTGGTCGCAGTCCATTCCTGTGCAGGGCTCTAGTTGACCGTCTTTATTGAGACATCAATCTCAGACTTGGCTAAATCATTCACTAGTGTCTTGGCAGTTGTTCTTGGGTCTTTAGAAACCTCTCTCACTAGTTTTCTTTTAAAGTTTTAGAAGTCTTTCACTTCCTGCCTAGGGCAGTCTGCTTCTCCACTATGTGGATCTCTTCAAACGTCTTGATAATACTTCTCACGGCAGTTCTTGACACCTGAAAACGCTTTGATAAACGTTTATATCTTTCTCCTCCTCTGTGAGCATTAACAATTATTTTTCTCAAGTCTAAACTAATTCTTTTGTCTTTGCCATGATGGCAGTACAAATTATTTTACTAGCTGTTTCGCAAGATACTAATCCTAAACTTAAAGAGCAATTTAAAGGCATACAGGATTATTTAGGTTTATTTAGATTATTTAGGCTAATAATACTGAGCAGTTTTTTAATTTTTATTTTTTTTAATTCCAGGCAAATTTAAATAAATAAGGCTTTCTCTAAAATATAACAAGAAATACTGTGTTAAAATTCCCTTGCTCTGTTAAACATCACTTGGGAAATATTTTAAAAATAATTGAAATTTCATAGGGGGGCTAATAATTTTGTCTTCAACTGTATACACACACACACACTATATATATATATATATATATATATATATACACACACACATACGTACATATATATACACACACACACACACACACACACACAGTTTTAATCAAAATTATTAAACGGCCATTGCAAATTAGGTTTATTGGCCAAATTCACTAGCCTGGGTTTCCCCATACTACCTTGCCCTGCTAGGTAGTCTGGATACCATGGACCAAATTTTTGCCTCATCTAGGGAACCAATCACAGAACGGGGAGGGAGCAGCAAGACGATGACGACGTCTATGCGACACACCGAAGCAGTTTGTTTATACCTATGGATCCAACATGGCAGCAGACGCGAAGTTACCTTTCGATGCAGCCTTACGGCCGTTTCACACCGCAAGCGTGAGCGGCACTTGAGCAGCGCATCAGCGTAACTACATCGTCACTGCAGCTGCAGACGCGCGAGAGTATTCACACTGGAAGCGTTTGTACAGTGTCACAGCAGCGGCTCCAAAGCCATTCGAGCAAAGACATTTACAAAGACAACTATACATTTGTTTTTAGAAGTTGGTCATTTATAACATTGATAGTCTTGAAAGTTTGTAATGGGGAGGTGTACAACATTCGCATATAAATGTTAAACAACTAAACAACCCAGAAAATGGCTCCAATCTATTAGTTTTAGTCATACTTTCTATATGTTTACAAGACTGCAACTCCACGGATAAAAAACAAAACGCACAAATAAATCACACACTCGGGTTTGATTTGGGTTGTGCTATGTAGCTGTCTGTGTGTTACATAAACTAAAAGAATGTTTATATATAATGTTTTCTGGCTAGTTTACTTTAGTTTTTTTTTAATATAATACACAACTTTCACCCAAACTGAATAATTAAAAACAAGTTTTTACCGGGTAGCCTAAATCTTCTATAAATATTTTTGAGTCTTTATTTTCTTTTATTTGCCTACTCAAGTTCTTGTTAACTCACTAGACATGCTTATTCTGTGCATTTTGGGCACTTTTTAATCATATTTATTTTTGTCCATCAAAAGTGTGCTTTCACTTTAATTTAGCGTGAGCAGAGTAGCAAAAACAGATTCGACCCCGCTTCCCTGCTGCTCACGCGACGCTCCTGCTCGACGCTCACGCGCTGCTCCTGCTCCCGGTGTGAATGTACTCATTGATTAACATGCACGCCGAAAAAAATACGCGCCGCTCACGCATGCGGTGTGAAACAGCCGTTAGAAACCATCGTGTACACATAAATCTCTGACCCATCGTCTTCTTCCTCATCTAATTTCTGTCGCTCTACATACGTCATCTGGTATAATTGAAACGATTAGCTATGAGCTATGTACAGGCGCATTTGATAGACATTCTTAGCACCCAATAAACGGCTCTGGGCATTCGTAAACCACGCCTCAAATACGAGAAAATGAACATGTGGTTCCCAGACCCAAGTCTTAATGAGACTTGGGTCTGACGTTAGCCAGGCTACAAATTTACAGACTTTCAGCTGTTTGCAATGAACAAATAAAAGTAAAGTAATTGAAATTGCTCAACACAATGAATGTTTCAAGTGCTTTCCCTAAATTCAACTGAAAATGCAACTTTTATTGACTTCTGTAGTCTCAGTCTCATTATTCAATTCCTTCATGGCAAGCCTCTTTAGTACTTTGTAGAACACCCTTTTGCTTTCATGACCTGCTGCAAACAAGATGTAAAGCCAGACACCAGCTTCTGGCAGCGTTCCTGAGGAATTGTAGCCCATTTCTCATGAGCAATGGCCTCCAGTTCAGAAATGCAGTTCATGGATTTGCGTGCCGCAACCGCCTTCTTCAAATCCCACCAAAGATTTTCTATGGGCTTCAAGTCAGGTGACTGTGATGGCCACTGTAGAATCTTCCAGGACTTCCACTGCAACCAAGCCTTGGTGGAATATGAGGTATGTTTGGGATCATTGTCATATTGGAAGGTCCAATGATGCCCAAGCTTCAGCTTCCTCACAGACGGAATGACGTTTTCTCCTAGGATATTGTGATACTTCAATTAATGCTGCAGGTTTCCACTGCCAGAAGATGCAAAGCAGCACCAGAACATCATTGAGCCACCACCATGCTTAAAGGGATAGTTCACCCAAAAATGAAAATTAGCCCATGATTTACTCACCCTCAAGTCATCCTAGGTGTATATGACATTCTTCTTTCAGACGAATACTATCGGAGTTATAAAAAAATGTCCTGGGTCTTCCAAGCTTTATAATGGCAGTGAATGGCCATTTCTGTTTTGAAGTCCATAAAAGTGCATTGTCCATAATAAAAGTGCTCCACACGGCTCCGGGGGGTTAATAAAGGCCGTCTGAAGAGAAGCCATGGGTTTTTGTAGGAAAAATACCCATATTTATAACTTTATAATCTAAAATAACTAACTTCCGCCAGACGACCGTATACTACGCAAGTCAACTTGTGCCACAAGAGTAACCCGTGACGCATGTATGACGTAGGATGTAGGAGTATCGTAAGCTTAGACGCCTCTCGTGTTTTAAACAAATAGAGCTGTGCAACAAACTGAAGCTCCTCTTCTCTTATATTATAGAAATATATAGAAATCCTCCGACATCTCTCTTCAATTCTAATTCGCGACCAGTGTTTTGTTTTGCTCTTTCCTCTGAACTTCCATGTTCGTCATTACGTTGTGCGTCGGGTCAGGGGTTAGTCTTCCACCGTAAATCGATGGGTACGGCCATCTGTCGGAAGCCAGTATTTATAGTTTATAAAGTTTTAAATATGGGTATTTTCCTTACACAAACGCATGGCTTCGCTTCAGAAGGTCTTTATTAACCCCCCGAGGCCGTGTGGAGCAATTTTATGATGGACAGATTATGGACTTCAAAACAGAAATGGCCATTCACTGCCATTATAAAGCTTGGAAGAGCCAGGATATTTTTTAATATAATTCCGATTGTATTCGTCTGAAAGAAAAGTCATATACACCTGGGATGACTTCAGGGTGAGTAAATAATGGGCTAATTTTCATTTTTGGGTGAACTATCCCTTTAACTGTAGGCAGTGTTCTTTTCAGCGTATGCTTCATTCTTCATCCTCCACAGAACAGAATAGAACAGAATCCCAAAACTTCTTATTTATATAATTTTGAGTATATTGGAGCCAAACTTTTCTTGTGGTTTTGGACCAGTAGTGCTGTACGTCTTGGAGTTCTGGCATGGAAACCTTCTGCATTTAGTATGTGCTTACTGCAGAAACTTTAACCTCAGTGCCTGTTGCCACCAGTGTCTTTTGCAGTCACTCAGGGTTTTTTTCTAAACCTGCCTTCTCAGAAATCTGGTTGAAGCCATTGATAGCTTGCTTTTTCTGCCCCATTCATTTCTTTAACTCTGAACTTGCGAACTATGCTTCCAACGGTATCTCTAGGAACATTAAGTGACCTCTATCTTTTTGTATCCTGTTCCTTGTTTGTGAAGGG